TCTTCCCAAAAGTTTAACATGGGCTGTTCAGTCAACGTGGTAGAGGCCTTCTTCACTTTTCCTAGACATCATGATGGTACCAGTAGAGCACTCTGGCCATCTACCTGTTACCTCTTGCTTTCACCAGGTGACCAGAGCATCATCTTTCAGTCATATAATTCCTTGATGACATCCTTTACTCCTGTTTCTCATAGTTCCTTGTTGGTTATGTGTGGCTGCTTGTTCACATCCACCATGCACCTTTCTATTGCCTTCTGTGGGATGTTCATCTTTTGTTCTTCAGATACATTGGTGTTCTGGGTCTTCTTGCCATAAAGCAACACTTGTAAAATGTTTGTACTGAAAATGGACTTTGGCTGTTACAGGAAGTATTGGTGATGGTGGTGGTGATGTCAATAAAAGTGCTATGTAATTTACCAAAAACAATTCCACCTGCCTTTGCCCTCCATTTCAACTCTGGGCCCAAATTCATTGTCCATTGTCTGTCTTAGATATACATATTGTTAGTGTGTCCATTCAGATATATGTTAGTGATCACATGTCTTTTCCAGAAAGTTCTACAATGTGTTAGGGCTTGATGCCATTAACACAATGTCATCCACAACCAAGAACACATGGAGGAGCCACATGGTAAACATGTGAATGATTTCTTTCATTCAGAGTTCCACTATACCTCTTAACATATTTCTTTTTCCCTCCACTCAAGTGACCACTACTCCAGGACCTTGTTACTTCTCACCTAGACTGTTTGTAATAACCCCCTGCCTCTAGTCAATAGATTATGATTAGAGAAGGGAATTTCAGAGTTCATGAACATTGAGATCATACATCTGTGAGTGATGGAATATGCTAGGGAATCACAAATACATTCTTCAACTGACTTCAGCAATAGGGACTTTGGGCAAGTCATTCAATAGCCTTGGGCCTCAGTTTTCTCATCTGTAAATGAAGGAGATGGTCTGAATGGCCTCTGAGGATCTTCCAATTCTAAATCTGTGATCCTATTAAATGATTTGTTCTCATTTTCCAGTGGTTTTGCTCATAAGTTTCTTGTGCCTGAATACCTGAAATGTCCCGCTTCTCTCTGCCTTCATCACTACCTGCTCAAATCCCATCTGTTTTCCAGGCCTATCTTTAATTTAACAAACACTTATTAAGTGACTGTTGGGGCAGCTAGGTGGCCAAAGTGTATAGAGTACCAAGCTTGGAATCAGGAAGACTCATCTAGCCTCAGACACTTACTAGCTATGTGACCCTGGGTAAGTCACTTAACTTTGTTCCCTCAGTTTCCTCATATGAAAAATGAACTGGAGAAGGAAATGGCAAACCAGTCCAGTATCTTTGCCAAGAAAACCCCAAATGGGGTCATGAAGAGTCAGAATAACTGAAAAACAACTGAACAACAAAATTAAGTGACTGTGCCAGGCACACAAAGACAGAAGCAAGTTTAATTTAAATGTTTTCTTCTGTGTAAACCTTGCCTTTTCTTTCCCACTCCTGTATTCAACAGTGATCTGCTGATTTAACAGATTTACCTCAGATAATCAACATTCTAAACAACTGTTTGTATAAGAGGTTTTGCAAAGCCACATAGAGGTGAACTGTGTGCTTACATAAGTAAGCAGGGCATAGCCTATTCCTCTGAATTCTCCTAATTCTTTTCTTAAACTTTTTAAATATTCACTTACACTATTTAATATCATAATTATTTGTGTAGGTCTAATTTTCTAGATTTTAAATTCATCAAGGGCAAGGACCTTGGTGTTGCCTTCAACACTTGGAATCCAACACATGATTATTAAATACCTACCGTGTAAGGCAGTGTGTTAGGGATACAAAATTTTGGGTACAAAATTTTTTAAAAATAGCTGTTGTTCTCAAGGGGTTTGAATTCCTCTAGGGGAATGTGCAGGTACATAGATAAGTATAACATCTTGTCCTTTCCTTCCTTTCCTTCCATTTTGCTGTGTTATCTTCCCGACTGATCTCCAACAGCTCTGTTGGGAGTGTGAATAAGAGGAGAAGCAGATAACTAACCATCAACACACACAGAGCATCTCTTGCTTGGTCTTTCACAGTAGTGAACAGTCCTTCTTCCTTCCTCTCTCTAGATAAAATCAGGTAGCATGAATAAGCATCCTATGTTCTACCCTGTACCATCCCATACTGTTTGTCTTTTGCCAAATTGTCTGTTGTAACCTGTCCTATTTTTTCTAAATATTTTGAAATTATGAATCTCTCAGAACAGGATTTTAAAACATAATTTTGCCCCCTCCCCTCATATAAGTAACCAAACATTTGCTGAGCACTTACTATGCATTCAGCACTAGAGGGAATAAAGGGAAATCATTAGACATAACTCAGATCCATGCCTACTGGGAAAATGAACCGGATCTAATATTCTACTCTACCGGCTTACATTAGCCAAACCTCAGCATTAGGAAACTGTTTTATTCTGACTTTTGAAAAGAAGCAAAAGAGGTTACTTCTAGAATGGAGAAAGTAGGAGCATTGTTCTTTTTGCAGGGACAGAGAAATCTTGGTAGGATTAAAAAAATAATCATTATCAGCCCTGGTTTTTTAACATTCCAGAATATCTCCAGGTCATCAAAGTCTCAAAAAATTATCAGAATAAAAGATTTTAAATGGAGCCAGCCTTGAAGTTCAGACTTCAAGTACTGCCTTGACTCATACTCACTGAGTGACAAAGGGGAAACCTCTTAACTTCTTGAAAAGTTGCCCCACGCAACTCCAAGACTGTAAATTATAGATACTTGTAGATCTGTAAGAGGGTGAGGAAATTCTCAGAGCCTTAAAATCATTGATCCAATACACACATAATCTCCTCAACTCAATTTAATTATTAACAATAAAGAAAAACACTCAATAGAACACACTATTCAACAAGGGAGTCCAGAACACCAAACCCTGGGAATCACAAACTTTTACAGGTTCAGAAGAGTTCCACTGGCCTTCGGTAAGGTGCAAAGGTTAACAGATTTTGCATTTGCTCTACCCGCACTTAAACAGGGGCTCTTCAGGTAGTAGTTATTTGTGGAACTTGGGAGGCATCACATAATTCTAAAACTTGCCTGACCCTTTGAGGTGAGACTGGATTTGTGAAATTTCAGAAAACCAGGGTCCTCTGGTCTCATCTAGTCTTTTCCAGGTATATTTGGACCCATAGGAGACAGTCAATTGAGAAGAGATTGTTGCCCTTACCCTCTGTTCCTACTCGAACATGAGCTTTTATCACTTCCTCAGCACTCAATCGGTGGGACCATCTGCTGGGGGAATATTGCTTCTCCAGGTCCTATGGGACACAGAGGCTCAAGATTTCTGAGTTGAAAGACATCTCAAAAGCCAACTAGCCCAACCCATACCTGAAGGTACTCCTTCCCCACCCATCTCCCTCCAACAAATTAGACAAATGATCAGTCAGCTTTTGCTTTTGACTTAAACTAGGAAGAAAGCAACCTATTTCCTTCCCTTTTGAACAGCTTTAATCATTAGGAAGTTTTCTTCACCTAAACTTATCTCTTTATAAATTCCTTCCACCCATTAATGCTGGTGAAAAATAGTAACAAGGTAATAATTAAATAGTTATAGTGGACATTTACATAGCACAGTGAGCATTTTACATACATTATTTCATTTAGACCTCACACAATGGCAGTGATAGGGATGTGGGAATTCCCTAACTCCTGAGGCAACATATTCCAAAATAATTCAAATTGTGAGGATTTTTTTTCTTCTTATCAAACAGAAATTTACATTACTCAAACTTCTATTCAGGGCTACTAGTTCTTCCTTCTGGAGCCAAGTCTATTTTTTTCTTCCACATGACAGCCCTCCAAATACTTGAAGACAATGATGATGTCCCTCCTAAATCTCTTCTTCAGGCTAAATATTACTAGCTGCTTCAAACTGATTTTCATATGGCATGATCATATTGGCCAGTATTTCATATTAGTCCTTTACCAGTCTGGTAGCCCTCCTCTGGAAACTCCAGCTTCTTATCCTTGCTCCTAAAATGTGATATCTAGAACTCAGCATAATAGTTCAGATGTGGTCTGACCAGGGCAGAGTACAGGACAGTTGTCTCCCTCATTCTGGACGCTATGGCTCCCACAAGGAAGCCTAAGTTTATGTTAGCTTTTTGGGGGTGAGGGCAGAGGAGGGGGAGGGGTAGAAGAGCTTCCACGTCACACAGATTAACTGGATTAAGTCTGTAGTCCTTTAAAAAAAAAGGTTCCTCCCCCCCTCTACTATCAAGCTACTCTCCCTACTTTCAATATAGTGAAGTTAATCTTTTGAAGACAAATGTGGAACTTTACAGTTATCCCTAATTAAGTTAAATCCTATTAGAACTAGTTGGCCCAACCTTTTAGCCTATCCAGGTCTTTTTTGCATACTGAATCAGTCAACATAAGAGAACTTTCTCTCCCAGCTGGGGGCCATCTGCAAATTTTGTTCAATATCATTTATGCTTTCGTGCGAATCCAGGCCGAGATAACAAATGATCTTGGCGGAGAGAGCATGGAAAGTACGGGAAATCTCCAATTCACCACCTTTCTGTAGCTTCGCCGAGTCCCCTCAGCCCCAGGCGTCCCGGGACTCCTTCCTTCCAGTCATCCCTGCTCAGTAAAGTATCCCCTACCTCCTTGGACAGAGCCTTCCAGGGCGAGTCTCGCGGGCTCCGCTGCAGGACAGCCATGGCTTTGCTGACCGTCAGGCTGGGATCGGCCCACAGCTCCAGGGTTTTAACATCTCCGGGAAAAGGGCGGAGACTCCGATCGCCGGCGGCGCGCCAAGCCGGAGAGAGTAGCCAGCTTCCAGATTGACAACCCCAGAGGCGCGGGAGGGGCTGAGGGGGAGCAAGGGCGGTGAAATAGACAGGAGGAGAGAAGAAAGGCGGGGCATGAGACTCAGTCGAATCTCCGGCCCGCCCCTAACTCGGCGGGATTAGGCCGGCGCCGGGCGCGAGAGCTCCCTATTGGCTGCCGAGTCCAGGTTAAAGGCAGTCTGCGCGGGAACCATACCGCAGGAGTACAGGCCAGCTGACCCGGTGCCTGCTTCTCTGTTCACTCCGGACTCAGGATGAGCTGCATTAACTTGGCCACCGTGCTGCCCGGCTCCCCCAGCAAGATCCGGGGGCAGATCCAGGTGAAGGGGGCCGGGGTGGGATTAAGCAGGGCCAGCTGTTGTTCCCAGGCTGGGTGCTAGATTCAGGGAATACCGAGGGCGTTGGGCTGAAAGATGCGATCCTCACGGTGGAAGGACTAATGCCATTTCTTATTTCCTCTGCAGGTGATCTTGGGGCCCATGTTCTCCGGGAAAAGGTAATCTCAACATGGGAAGGGGCAGAATGGGATTGGGAATTGAGGCAGCAAAAGGGAGGCCTTCAGAAGGCTGTGGGGAAGTTGGCCAATGATTCAGTACTTATGACTAAGCTTTAAAGACAAAAATGAAACAGTTCCTGCCCTCCAAGAGGGAGACGACATGTATACACATATTTGCATGGGCAAAATACATAATAGGTAAATTGAGGGAAGAGGCACTAGCAGCTGTGGAGATAGGAAAGGCTCGTTGGAGGTGGCATTTGAGCTGAGTTTTGAAGGAAACTGGGGGATTCTCAAATGTGAAGAAGTGCAGTACAAGATTGTGCACAGAGAAAGGATTGGAATGTCTACTGTGAAGAGCAGGATAGTGAGGGAAGGAGAATAATGGATGCTAAGCCTAGAAAGGCTAAGTTGGAGCCACATTGTTTCATTCATGAATGAACAAAAAAAAAAACATTTATCATGTGCAAACACTGAGCTGAGCCTTAGGGATGCAAAAGGGCTGTTCTCAAGGAGTTCACATAATTGCGGGAGAAAACACGTATAAAGGGCTTTAAACGCTAAACAGAGGAGTTTAAATTTTTGTATTTGATGTAGAGGTAATAGGGAGCCAGCCACTGGAGTTTACTGAGCAGGTAAGTGAGAGAGAGACCTTCGAAGATACAGAAACTCCTCCTTTCAACCCCACTCCTAAGAGCTCACCTTGGAGGGGCCTTGAGCTTTAATGCTCCTTTGCCCTATGAAACAGACATCTGAACACCCACCTGACAAGCTCTCTGACAGCTCACTTTGCCAATTAGAGTCTCCTTTTCCTCTCTGTAACCTGTTTTCTTTCCTTCCTATGTGAAATATAGAACATCTTTTTTCTTGAAAACTAAAGAAGTAGCCAAAAACCCCAGGATGAATATTTTCTGTGCTAGTTCTGTTATTTATGACCCACATGACCTTGACCAAGTCATTTCACCTGTGGTGGAGGAGCTCAGTTTCCTAACCAGTAAAATAATGGGGTTGGACTAGATGGTCTCTGAAGTCCTTTCCAACTCTAAATTTACACCTCTCTGGGCCTCGATGCAGAAAGGGGAGCTGGTACATCACCCTTATTCTCTCCAATCTAAGGAAGAGGTTGATTGATGTTCAGACCTGTCTGACTCTTCATGACCCTATTTGGGATTTTCTTGGCAAAGGTAATGGAGTGGTTTGACATTTCCTTCTCCAGCTCATTTTACAGACGAGAAAACTGAGGCAAACAAGGTAAAGGGACTTGCCCAGGGTCACACAGCTACAAGTGTCTGAGGCTGTATTTGAACTCCAGTCTTCCTGGCTCTGGGCCCAGCTCTCTGAAGTAGCCTTCCCTTTTGCCAAGTGCAGTCCCTCTACTTATGCCTTCCATCCTATTCTTGCCCTTCCCTAAGAACTTGTCCTTTAGTTATTCTGCCTTGGATCTCTCTATTCTCTCCTTATCTACTGATTCCTTCCCAGCTTCTAATGAGCATGCCCAGCTCTCCCCTTTTCTTTAAGAAAACAAAAGCAAAAACAAAACTGCAACTCTTTACTTGTTTCTCTCATTCACTCAAGCTATCATCCAATGACTCTTCTGCCTTTCACTGCTTCTGCTTCCCTGCTGCACACTCACTTAACCCCTTAAACTCTTGGCATCCAACCCTACCAGTGGCCTAAAGCTGCTTTCCCTTTGGATCTCTTACAGGTAAATCTGATGGCTATTTCTCAGTTCAAATCCCATTTCTCACACTTATCCACTTGATCTCTGCAGTTTTTTTGTACACTTACTACCCCTCACCCCTTCCTGGGCATGCTTTTCTTCCACGACACTGCTCTCCTGGTTTTCCTTCTACCAATATTCCTTTTAAGTCTTCTTTGCTGGATGAGCATCTATCTTTTCCCCTCCTAAGAATGAGTTTATCCTAGGTCCTTTCCTGCACTGTCCTCACTTTTTTCCCTTCATCCTTGACTCTTAACTCTCCTTGACAGCCCTCCCTCCTCCAGTAATTTACCAAGTCTTGTCAGTTTTACTTCCATGACATCTCTTGCATCCCTCCTCTTCTTCTCTACACTCACTGCCAACATCCTAATTCAGTCCCTCATCACTCCTCTTGTAATCATCACCTAGACTCGTGTAATAGCCTATTAGTTGGTCTCTCTGTTTCTTATCTCTTTTCTATTCTGTTTTTCACATAGCTTCCAAAATGATCTTCCTAAGGGATGGGTCGAGTCATATCATTATCCAACTCAAAAAATCATCAGTTATTCACTACTGCCAATGTGGCAAGACACAAAGTGTTTTAGCCTGGCACTTAAAGGCCTACATGATCTAGCCCCAACTTTCATTTCCAGACTCTTCATATTATTTCCTTTGATGTACATTCCAGCTAAACTGGATTTACTAGCTGTTCCCCAAACCTAACTATCCATCTACCATCTCCTTGCCTTTGCACTCCATACCTGGGATGTGTGTAGTCATCACATTTACATCTTAGAATCCTTTTTTTCTTTCAAAGCTTAGCTCAAATGCCATTTTCCTGGTAAGTCAATTTGTTGATGTTCTCATTACCTTATGGGTACTTAATCTACATGTTATAGAATGCACACTCCTTTGATGAGAATTCATTCTGTGTGAGTAGATTAACACTGACAAGGAGAACCACTCTTTAGGAGTGTTTCTCTTATCGTGTCATATAAATAGCCTTCTCTCCATGCCTTAGTTTAATGTTTTATTTCACTAGGTTTTTGTCTTGCATGATGTGCTCAGCTCAGATTGTGTAATTCCCCGGGTGGAAGGGGTGCACATGAGGTGTTTGGGGTCACTTGGCGCTGACTGTTGTGCCTTCCTCCCTGTGCTGGGGAACCACTTTGGCTTTTGTAGCACAGAGCTCATGAGGAGAGTCCGGAGGTTCCAGATTGCTCAGTACAAGTGCCTCGTGATCAAGTATGCCAAAGACACTCGATATGGTAAAAGTTTCTCCACACATGACCGGTCAGTTCCTTCCTCCAATTTCATACTGGTTCCCTGATTAGAGTGAAGTCTCTATCAGAGAAATAATACTAAATGTTGCTAAGTGGCTCAGTGGTTAATTTCCATATAATCTTTAGTGGTATTTTCATAATTGGCTTTTGAGCACCTTGCTTTGATGATAAGGTCAAATCCCAAGGCCCAAGAATATTTTATTTATCAAATGTGTTTGGAATAAGTGTACCAGGGCTTGAAAATCTCTTAGTTACATGGTTGAAATAGAATTTACCTTATGTGGATGCCTGAGTCCCCTGACATTGGTTTTGTTCTTACTTGTTCCCTTTGGCATCAAGAAACCAAATGTTCTTAAGCCTGGGGGAGGGGTAGGACTAAATTTCACTAACCAGTAATATCAGTTACCTGGGGTGAAGTCTACACTGGCTATACTTCCCAAATGTGAGTTATGATGCAGGTTGCAGCTATCTATAATTTACAGTCTTGGGGACTTGGAACTGCCTAAAACTTAAGAGAGTTTAACTGACCTTCTTTGCCTATGGTCACACAACTAGAGTTAAAGGTAGAATTAATCTCAGGTCTTTTGACTCCCAGATCCAGCTATCCATTAAGTCCTCACATGCCTTCTGTATAACCCTGAATTCAAGGCTAGATGACTAATTAGCATCCAGCCTTACTTGATTCCTCAGTTCTGAGCCTGTGGATGTCTTTATATTTCTTTTTTTTGGGGGGGGGTGGGGGTGGGAAGAGCGTTCAAGAACATTGGCCTATATAGCATTACCTCCATGTTTGGCTTGTCCAGTAAGAGAACAGAGTCAAATTTTAAGAACAGAAATATGTACCACATAAGACTTGTTTTGTTATGAAATGATCATGTTTGATCCCATCCCTCATTAGACTAACAAAATCTGCTTTGTAAGAACTGCTATGAGGTGGCAGTCTATATGACAAAACTATTTCCATTCATTTTATTTTACTTTTTCATTTCAAACATTTATTAAGCACCACCTTTTTGAAGAACACTGGGAAAAGATACAAAGTTTAAGACAGACCTTTTTCCTGCCCTCATGTAACTTATAGTCTAGCATGGATATGACAACAGAAATAACTATATAAAATGCAATAATATTATTGGGTCAGTAACCTCCATTCCAGTTTTCTTTATTACAAGTTATCTTTTTCTAACAGCTGTCATCCTCACCACCCCTTATCACATAATTAATGCCATCAGTTCTCTTAATTAACAGGCCATCCCTTCAATGATATACTACCAGATAGTTCCGTCACTATTAAGTAGTCCTCTACAGAGAGATTACTCCACCCAAGTACCAATGGGAAGTAGCCACTTCATTAAGATAATACTTCGAAGTAGGGCAAACCCTGAAGGTTATAGATTTACTAAATTTTTCAAATGCCACATGACTAAGTCTTATACATTAGGTCTAGACTCTAAGCTGTCCCTTTCCTGATTACTTTGTATCCCTATTCCCCAGTTTGCCGAGTATGGTTTCAGTCAGTATCTGATTTTTAAAATGGTACCAGAAGCCAAGGCCCTCTCAAAATCCTCGTTTGGGCTTTCTGAATGATAAAAGACTGAGCTAAGGTTAATTAGGCACATCTGTGTGAATCACATTCAAATCTGATTCAGTATCTAATTAGCTATGGCAGCGACCATTAATTAGCTTTTCCTATGTGAGGAAAACTTCTCATAGTGTGTCTTGGTTTACTCAAGCATTTTCCCTCCCAAAACAGAAAATATGAGACCAAGGAAAATAAATATTATAGTGTCAACGTTTTAATTATTTTTCTTACGAAAACAAAGATGAATCTTAGAATGGGCATTTGGCCCTTTTTCTTCTTGTCTCCTTCAGTTCAAAGTTTACATCTCTTAATGGCCCGCATCTTCTCAGATCTGCAATTGGACTCAATACATTCAAGCATTAGTACGATCTTCTGTAGTAATTGTAATTTTTGAAATATATTGTTTAATGTTGTAGTTATAAGTGATAGGACTCCAATATTGGAGTCAGGCTAAGTGGTTTTAATGACCAAAAATATGTAAGCAATACAGACAGTCTCTACTTTTCCACTGTTCTGACTCATTCTGATCCTATGTCAAACATGTAAATGATAGAGACTCCTGATTGACTGAGGCTTCAGGCCAACTATGTCGGTTGTACCTTGACACCCATTCCTGGGATCCCCAATTATGGCTGAATTCAGACCCTCATCCAATTTCTGGTTCAGATTAAGAAACCCTCCTACCCAAAACTGGTATCAATGAGCAACCTCAGAGAATTTCCCTGTCACATCTGGATCTGATTAGAAATGCCTCCTCCAGGGTGGCACAGTGAATAGAGCTCTGGCCTTGGAGTCAGGAGGACCTGAGTTCAAATCCAGCCTTAGACCCTTAACACTTACTAGCTGTGTGACTCTGGGCAAGTAACTTAACCCTGATTGCCTCACCAAAAAGCAAAAACAAAAACAACAAAAAAAAAGAAATGCCTCCTCCCATATCTGGCATCAATTCCCTGTTCTCAGCTAAGTCTATCTTAAAGTTATAAAACTTTCCTGCTCAGACCCCACTGAGTATGTACTCCCATAGAAATCTTGCCACTATAAACATTTCCCTCATATGAGTGACAGGCCCTTCATGGCCCTGCCTTGCCAAATGGTGTTGAGGCACTTTGCTTTTGTCTGCTTACTCATTCTAATAAATCTTATGCTTGTACTAGTTTCCCAAGCACACTTTTCTGTCAGTCTTCAAATGTAATTCTTTGCTCTCACCTGATCCATGAGACCAAAAAAAACTTATTTCTTTGTGGTCCTGGCCTTTTTTCAGAAAATAGGCTTTAACCACCATAGCTACCCTGCTTCCTGGTAGCACCTTTTACCCTGAGCACATTGGAAGTCACTGCCCCTTTTGTATGGCATTACTTTGTGAGGCCTGCCTCATTTCCTGCTGTGGGTTTTAGGGATGTGTCATCAGCTTGAAGACAGAAAAACATCCATGAAATAGAAGTACATAGTGGCTTCTCAAGTCCTGGGCCTCATAGGAGATGACCAGAGTTGCAAGGTGTACCCTCTATCCTAAGTCAGCCTCTTTAGCCCAAAGTATCATCTTCCATTTTTAAAAAATTTAATATAATTTTTCACAATGAAAATCTATCTTTTCCATCTATTCATTTTAAATGGAATATAACGCAGTACTTCTGGATCCCTCTCAAAATTCATCCCTGTTACACCCAGATTAAAAAAGATTTTTTTTCCCCCTTTCAGATACAGGAAATAATCTTTTCCAGAAAAGGAGAAGAGGAGAAAAATCTCCAAACTCATTTATAGTACAACTCTTGTCCTGTGGATTTTTTTTCCTAATCAAGCAAACAACAACAAGCATTTATTAAGCTTCCACTGTGTCTGATATACTTTGAAATACACTGGAAATAATGAGGGGGAAAATCCCTGCCCTTTAGGGATCTACATTCTATTGGGAGAGATAGCTTGTACAGATAGAAATATATTCAAGGTATTTTTGAGGGAGCTCCAGGCTGCTGGAGGAAAAAGCCTCTAGGTAGAGGTAGTACTGAAAATAAGCCTCCAAGGAAAAAGGGATTCTAATATGTGGGAGTAAAGTAGAAGTACATTCCAGGCATGGAGATTGTCTGGGCAAAGGCCTGGAAGCTGGGGATGGGATGTGTGAGAATGCCATGTGTAAGAAACAGCAGGAAAGCCAGTTTGGCTAAAATGTAGAATGTATGAAAGAGAGTTGTGTGTAATATGCCTGGAAAGGAAAGCTGCAGCCAGATTGTGTGCATTTTATCCTAGAGGCAAGAGGGAGCCATTAGATTTTCTGGGGAGATGGGGTGGGATGGGCAGCAGGGAGTAAAAAGATCACACCTGTACTTTAGGATTATCCATTCAACAGCTGTGTGGAGGATGAATTGGAGAAGGGAAAGCCTAGAAGCAAGAGAGCCCTATTAGGAGTCTATAGCAATAATATAGGCTAAAGGGAATGAACTTGAATTAAAATGGTGGCTGGTTGAGTAAAGAGAGGGAGGTATATGAGGGCCTCAATTAGTCAGAGCAGTAAAGATCTTTGATTTAATCTAGTAGAATAATCTGGAAAAAAAGACATATCCACCAACCTCTAGATCAAAAATCAACAAGAAGTGCATGAGCAAACAAGACAGTGAGTTTGTGTGTTTTTAAGGGCAAACTAAATACAGACATTTTGCCCTTAGATACAAAGGTTGTATCCTACTGCTTACGATAGAACTGAAAGGAAACTGAGAGATCATCTAGTCCAGGGATTCTTAACCTGAGGCCCATGATTTGTTTTTTAACACTTTGATGACTGGAGTTCAATAGCTTTGGTTTCCTTTGTAATCCTATATATTTTATTTAATTTAATCTATTTAAAAACATTATTCTGAGAGAAGAGGTCCATCCAGAGGCTTTACCAGCCTGACAAAGGGGACCATGACACACAAAAAGTTAAGAATCCCTGATCAAGTCCTACTCCCTCCTTCTATGCATGAGAAAACTAAAGGCCACAGAGGGGACATATTGTTCATGACTGAACAACAAGGTTCTGAAGGGACACATGAGTCTTCTTTCCCTATTAGAATGTTAGCCTTAAATCATCATACAGCCACTCTCAATTGCTAAGATAATTAAAAAAAAAAGAAGACTTAACTAGTCCCCAACTGGGTCTCCTCACTCAGGCATTCCATGCTCCCTCAGTATAGGAATTATAATCTGTTACTAAAGAGTTTTATGTTAAATTGATTAAAAAAAAATTGGGGGGATATAACAAATGAATGCAACAAATAGATACCTTAAAAATACTTATTTTAACCATCATAAGATTTTTTTTTTGTGAGAATTCTTTTCCCTTCATGTCTCAAGGCATCAAGGTGAGTTATTGGCATAGTATAGATCTGATTTATGGGACATTCTGACTCTAGGCAAGTTCTTTATTTAGGAACTAACGTTCTTAATCTGAGGTCTATGAACTTTTTTTTTTAATATCTTGATAACTTCATTTCAAAATAATTGGCTTCCTTTGTAATTCTACATATTATATGCATCTAAAAATATTATTCTGAGTTCTGTAGGTTTCACCAAATTGCCAAAAGAATCCATGACATTTGCAAAGAAGGTTAAAAACTAGGTTCAATGCTGAACATTTACTTCTACATAATGAACAGATATCCAAAAAGTAGGAGCTTCAGTTTCGAGAAAGATGTTTTCAGTGTCTAACCCAATACTCCTAATGATGTCTTTATTTTTATAAACAAAGTAACTTTGTTATTGTCAAATACATTTCCAATATGCTCCAAAGATCCTTATTTTCTCTCAGTTTTATGCAAGTCATTTAATAGCTAAACCAACTCTGCATTTACAGAAATGCCTAAAGCACATTGCCCAAATTGTTGAAGCCATGTGTAATGGAAAGAACACCAGATTTGGAGTCAGAAGACTTGAGTCCTGCTTCAGCTACTTATTGGGGGGGGGAGGTGTGTGTTCAAGTCTTATGCCCAATTTTTTGATCTGTTCCTTCTTTTGCTTATAAAAATGTTTTAAGCTAACTTTCTTAAGAACTAATTTGGTTACATGCAATTTTGGTATGTTGTCCCATTTGTTCTGGTGCCATTAACTTTAATTGTCTATTGGTTTTTTGATTTGTTGTCTCTAGCATTTTTAATGGTTTCTTCAGGGGCTCTTTACTGAGTTATTAAATATAATTTTAATGTATTGTGATTGACAAAAGATGTGCTTAATATCACTGCTTTTCTGCATTTATTTGTTTGTAAGGTTTTTATGCCCTAATACAGGTCAATTTTTGTAAAGATGCTATGCACAGCTAAGAGATATGTATGTTCTTTTTTTGTTTCCATTCAATAATTGTCAGAAATCTATCATATCTAACTTTTCTAAAATTCTGTTTAGGTCCTTAACTTTTTTTTTTGTTATATTTATCTGTGTCAAAAATTAAAGTCCCTCACTATTGTAGTTTTACTACTTTGCTCTGTAATTCACCTGGCTTTTCTTTTAAGTATTTAGATGCTGTGCCATTCAGTGCATATGTTTATTGATTTTAATTCAATTAGTATTGATATTAATTCATTGTTTATGGTACCTTTCAGCAAAATGTAGTTTCCCTGATTATCTCTTTTAACTCAGTCTGTTTTTACTATTGCTTCATCTGAGATCATGACTGCTACCCCCTGCAGGAACATTATGGAAGCACTCCCAGCCTGCTTGCTTCGGGATGTGGCCCAGGATGCCCTGGCTGTGACTGTCATTGGCATTGATGAGGGACAGTTTGTAAGTTTATTTCAGGTTCTTCCTTCCTACTATCCCACAAACTTTTCCCATATTACTGGAAAGCCAGATTAGCCAGTAGTTGGGATTAGTTGGGGGAGAGGGAAAAGAGAGAGCCTGGTGAAGCTTTATAGAAAGGAGAACTCTAAGCATTTCCTAATATTTTAAGAGAATTGAAAACCTTTCCTTAGAATTGTTTACTAAAATCTCAGCCACTCAGCAGTACTAGCTTCCTGGTTTAGTTAGAAAGGCCATTCTTCACTTCAATGAGCAGGAATTCTTTAAATTTTATCTTGGTTTGTGCCTTAGTAGCTTTGCACATTGGAAAAAAATCACCTTTTCCCAAAAAGATATTTCATTGTCCTTCTGTCCTACCCCACTGAGTAGGAGGGATGAAAGTAATTCTCTGACCAGTATCTCATTAATCTACAAGCATTGATTTACTTATTAATTAAGCAGCAATATACCAGGCACTGTACTAGGTTTGAAATAGTTCTGTCCTCATTGCTGCCTAGAACCTGATTCTTGCTAAATACTGTTTGGCCTAATTATGCAGAATAGCTTGAAGGTTCTTTTACAATCCCTCCTCAGTACCCAAAATTGATACCCCAATGCCAATGGATGGGCAAGGAAGGAAGAAACACTTTGTATGGCAGCTACCACTTCCTCCAGATGAAAGCTCTGCACTTGAACCTGGATTTCTTTTTTGGTTAGTTGGCCATGCAAATGATCTTGGGCCTCAAAGAAATCTAGTGGTAAGCAAATTAGAAGTTTTTATTTGGTGTTGGCCAAGATCAACCTTAGGCATAGTTGTGAAAAAAGTAAAGTTTTTGATTTGGAGTCTAGGAATCTGGGTTTGAATCCCAGCTGATCTAATTAGTACCTAATTAGTCTTTGGGCAACTTTAACTCTCAAGGCTTCATTGTCCTCCTCTGTAAACTAAGGGGATTGGATTAGATGATCTTTAAAGTCTTCTTCAACTATAAATCCTATGATCCTATGTTGTAGCTTCAGGAATCCCAAATACTTCAGGAGTTAATGAGGATTCCAGAAGCAGACAGTAGATAGTGGTAGCCAGGAGGTCAGTAGAGAGCTATGGAGCTCTCTTTCTACAAGGGTAGAAAAAGAACTTATCAAGTGTAGATTACCTAGAGCAAGATGAACTAAGCCCATAGCCTAGGAATGGTGAGGGGAGGGAATCTAACAATGAGAAGGAAATAGGAAGTCCCCAAAGTAGAACAATAAAATCCAAGGAAGGGATTCTGCTTCAGGAGGTCAAAAGCACAAAGGAAGCAGCTGGCCATAGAAAGGGCCAGGGGCAAAGTTTCCATCACAGGCACTTGGTACTAGGGGCTCAAGGTAGCTATTGTAACCTTGCCCCTTCTGGTTTCTATGTCCAGACCTTATGTATCTATCTTCACTTTTCTGACTTGGGGAATGAGTCATGATTTGCAGTGACAAACATCCATTGTTGGAATGGAGTTAGTAATGTTTAATACTCCATTCACTCTGGTGATAACTGTTTCCAGGGTCAATATATCCCTGGGTATGAAACTACATGGATTCCAGTTAGGGAGAATAACCAACTAGCTCTTGCTACAGTTTAGTCTGGTACCAGTTGCTAGAAAGGCAGCTTGACCTAGTGAATAAACAGCTGTAGTTACAGTCAGGAAGACCTAGGTTCAAGTCCAATCTCTGCCATATACTGGCTGTATGAGCTTGGAGTCATTTAATCACTGTCCTGCACAACTCTAGTTTAAGGTGATTCATTGCAGAACAGTTGTGGATCTGCTTAGTAGCTTGTCTGTATTAGAAGAGGATATTTTCTCACAGGTATTCCCAACAAAGGTCTGATTAAAAACAATTGATTCCTGATACTTTATATCTTGCCAAACACCTTACATAAATTATGACCTTCGGCCCACAGGATGCATTGCATTGTTCTCCTCAACCTCTTATGGGGATTAATTGGAACTGAGCAATTCTAGTCCTAGAATTTACAGCTAGAAGAAACCTTAACTTAGAAATGACCTAGTAGTCCAATGTCTCTTTCCCTTTACAAATAAAGAAACCAAGGCCCAAAGGGTTAGTTAAGGGTCTTACTCAAGGTCACACAAGTAACTAATTAGTAGTAGAACAAGATAAGGTCTGGGGTCTTCTGATTCTACTATAATCAAGGGCTCTACTATACCAGACTCTCTCCAGACTATTTCCCCTTCTTCCTTCTTTTTCCTTACCCTGTTTCCTTCTTTCACACCCACCCTCTCCAACCACCCTGGATTTCCTTTTCTCCTCTCTTCATCACCCCCCCATGCCTCATGCCATGCTTCTTTCCTTTGTTTTTCCATTTCGTCTTCCATGATTCAGGTGGTCTGAAACCTTTCTTCCAAGTATAGGTGGGCTTGCTTTAAGTCTACATTTACAAAACTGACAAAGTGATTATTTATTTTAGATTTGATTTACCAAAACTCAGTTTGTAAGAGATGAATTCTTGCTGCATGTACAGTGAGGCACACACATATCAACAAAGTATAAAATACATTTATGAGTAGTTTATCATCTTGCTAGATAAGTTGCCACAGTGAGACCACATATTGTTCTATGTGGGACAAATACTCGAGTCCCTGCAGTCAGCAAAATGGTCTGAATCAAGTAGTTACTCAAATAGACTTGGTAAACCAAGTTGTACTGTCTTTGGTGCTTGGGGTATAAGAACAAAAATTAGCTTCTGCACTGTCTGTGGAGAATCAACATGTATACATACAAAGACTTACAGTACTTGTGTGTAACTTTACAAGTGTACAGAGTACATGTGGTTGGGAGGGAAAAAGATGTAGGAGTCCAAGTTCTATATTCTCCAACACTGGGGCTAGTCTGAAGAGCAGAACTAAAGTATTAAGTGACTTTTTTTCTTCCTCTGCTCTTCAACATTTCGATTCAAAGGCATCAATAAGAGCCTGGGGAAGCTTGCCTCCTTGGAACAGGAGCTCATCACCTCTCCATTTCTTTCCTGGGGTGTTTTTAGTTTCCGGATATTGTGGAATTCAGTGAGAACATGGCAAATGCTGGGAAAACTGTGATTGTAGCTGCACTGGATGGGACCTTTCAGAGGAAGGTAAGATTCCTAGCTATGGTCTTTAGGTAAAGGACCAATGCTTGGAAAGTGGGTCCTATGCAAAGAGACTAGTTTGCTTTTCTTATTTTTTAAATTAAAATTTTGTTACTTTTTTCACATCAATCATTTCTGGATTGATATCCCCCTCACCCCAGAGCTCAACCAGTTACCCTTCCCTTGTTACAAGACAGTTCAGCCAAACCAACTGACAAAACCTGGTGGTGTAAGCAGTGTTCTGCATCCACAGATCCCTGAGAAAAGGGGAGGTGCCTATTCTCATCCCTTCTTCCAGGCCAAAACTGATCATTATGACTACAGGGTATTCATTTGGCTTTTTTAAAACTGAATCATCATACAGCCTCAACTTTGTCAACTATCTTCTGTCTAAACTAAAACCAATCTAGAGACCATCACTGTAACAAACCTTCTCTCCTTTCTAGTTCCTTCTTGTTTGCATAGTATTTGTTTGTATTAGACCAAATTGTGCCTGCTACAGGCTAGAAAATGTTTCCCTTATCCTGTTGTTTCAAGGAGCAGATAGAGGGAGGAAAGGGATGCCTCTAGGAAATAAAGTGTGATCAGCACAAATTTTCATGGTTCAAAGTACTTGGGCCAAAGGATGTTGTCGGGTTTCAGGGTTGTTTTTTGTTTGTTGTTCCTAGTTTCTGTTTTTTAAGACATCCACCTACTATCATTTATTGTGTGTGTCTCTGGGAATCATAGCCATTTGGGAATATCCTGAACTTGGTGCCACTGGCAGAGAGTGTGGTGAAACTGACAGCAGTGTGCATGGAGTGCTTCCGGGAAGCTGCTTATACCAAGAGACTGGGGGTGGAGAAAGAGGTAATTTCTCCTTTCATTCCCTTCCCCAGTCTTTCTGCTAGAGTGGGTCCAGCCTAATGGGTTAATTAACTCCCGGGAATGGCCTGTGTTTGGGAGAGTGCTTAACAGAAATCATATTGCTGTCTCTCCTGTTGCTAGGTTGAAGTGATTGGTGGTGCTGACAAATATCACTCTGTGTGTCGACTCTGCTATTTCAAGAAGTTCTCAGGACAATCTACTGGGCTGGAGAACAAAGAGAACTGCCCCCTGAGTGGGAAGTCAGGGGACACCTCAAGTTGTCGCAAACTCTTTGCTGCTCAACAGATTCTACAGTGCAGTTCAAACAACTGAGGCAGTAGGGTTGTTCCTGGAACAGGCCTTGGCCTGGGAAGATAAATTCAAGTGCTCTGGCCTTGTCTGTATGTGTGTATATATATATATATATATATATATATATATATATACATACACATAGATATTATATATATATACACATACATATATATATGGAGAAGTCACCGGGACCTGCTTCTTGCTTTCCCCACATCCGTAGCTGTTGCTTATATCCATATCCTAGTTTTTGTCTTCCCCATATCCCTCAGAAAAGGGAGGACCAGAAGATGAGACCTTAGGAAGGGGGGAACAGGAAAGAAGCTTCATAACTTGGAAGAAACCTTTTGAACCCAAGACTATACTTTACAACTTAATTCTACCCTTCCCCTACTTGCCATCCTACCCACCCTGCCCCCACAACTTCTGCTTGGTCTATAAACATTAAAATCCCTCACCTTCCTTTCTTTGGCCTCAGTCTACGTAAAGCTCGCCTGAGCTGCTCTAAGCTTACGCAGGTGGCTAAGTCAGAGCATTGTGGGTTTCCCTGATTTCCTCTAGCTTGAGTTATGACAGAATTCTGTGACAAAGGACATTACTTCCTCATCTGTGTTATCTATCCTGACTTTGTGTTCTCATTAGAACATACTGTAAGATTTTGCTTTTTCTTAATTTTACCAACATGATAACTTTTTCCTTGACTATTTTTTTTTTTTTGTAAAAGCACCAATAAGCTTCCACCAGCTCCTTAAGGCCTGGAAGCTTTAGTTTCCTAAGAATATGACTCAGAGGACAGACCCTGGCCTTTGCCTGGGCTCTGATTAGCCTGTTATGTCTCAACTTATAATGATGGCTTTTTTGGGCTGAGGTGGGGGAGGGGGACAATTGAGGTTGCAGGAAGGTTCTGCTATAAAAGATGAGAATTGAAACTAGCCTTTAGACAGACACTGTTCTGTTTAGCCTTTTGGGTTTTTCCTTTGGTATGAGGGAGTCCTGGCTTTCCCCTCATATAATGGGATGTTGGCTTCTAGAATGAGGTGGGGGATTTCTCCTCCAACCATTCTCAGTTCTCATTAATACTATTAATACTACCTTCTGTGTAGTACTACTCTCAACTACTTTGTTGACAGAAGTATCCCAGCACTGGTGATTAAGAGCCTATGGGACAAGTTCAAGCCAATATTGGATTCAGGGGACTATCCTTCAAAACCTATGAAATTACTAGCTATATGAACCTGGCAAGTCACTTAACCCCATTGCCTAACCAAAAAAAAAAAAAAAATCTACGGAACCAGGTTCTGTTCATGGATCACTGAGAGACTGTAGAGCCCATTTACCCCCAAAAAACAGTGTTAGGCCTAAGGATCTATGAAGCAGAGCTGAGAATGGTTTTCACTTGGGTGAGAAGAAAATATCAGGCTATTCAGGCTCTGAATCTGTCACATTCATTCATTAAGACTTGGTCATCACCTTGGATGAATTTATACTCCTATGTATAATGTGATAAATGGATAAAGGAGAAAAAGAAGGGGTACACTGAGCTAAAAAGTTTGGACTTGCTTAGTTTTTCAGTGGGGAACCATGAAGCTGTGCACAAGAAAGACTAAAGTGGCAATAATGCAAGTGCAAGATGAATTGGAGAAAGAAGCAGAAGCAATTAAAAATATTAAGTTAGTACAGGTAAAGTAATGAGGAACTGGAATGGGATGTTAGAAGTGGGAAAAGTGAGTCAAAGGAGAGTCAATATAGAATCAGCAAATTTAGTAATTAGTTATGTGGAAGAAGGATCAATGATTGGTGATGAACTGGAGTGATGGGAAAAAGAAGAGTGGTACCATAGACAGAAGGCAGGAATAAGCATGGGCAAGAACATCCCAAGAGATATACAGAGAGCAAATTTAAGTCTGGAGTCTGGGCTTTGAAGTTAAGCAATAGAGATTTTGGAATTGTCCATGTACGAGTGATAATTGATTCGAGGTGGGTAAAGTTACCAAAGTGAACGGGAAAACACTTAAATTTAAAGGACAGAAGAGAAAAGAGATAAGTTCTCATAAAGCAGAACTTTAGAGCCAAGCATAAAGAACTTATAAACCTTGAAGTGATAGCCCTATGCCACAAAGGTGATAGAAAGCAAATGATAAAAAGCTTCAGTCAAGGTGAGGGGTGCTTCGAACATCTAAGAGGTAGAGGTGAGCCAGGAGCTGTCATCCTCCAACCTTTCAAAGGAATGAACAGCTGCTATGTAGTTCTATCACAGGTTCCTCCTTCCCCTCTAAGTACTCTGTTGTCCAGCAGTCTCCTTACTATTTGCACACAACACTCTGCCCTCCCAAGTCTGGGTGTTTTCATTTGGCTATCCCCTATGCCTAGAATGCTCTCCTTCCTCACCTCTACCTCCTAGTTCCCCTGGGTTCCTTCAAGTCTCAGCTCAAGTCCCACCTGAAAAAAAGCCTTTTTTGGTCCTTAATCTTAGTGCTTTCCCTCTTGAGACCACCCTCAATTTATCTTGCATACAATCTTGTTGATACAGTTATTTGCATGTTGTCTCCTCTGTTAGTTTGGGTTCTAAGCACAGGGACAGAGTGGTTTTGTTTTGCCTTTTTTGTTATCCCCATAACTTAGTGCAGTGCCTGGCAAATAAAAGACTAGCTAGCTAGTCAGCTAGCTGACAGACCCAGGCCCTCTTTCCCATCTACTGGGGCTCAACTCTAATGAAGAGTAACCTGGGTAAACAGCACAGGAAAGCTGCCACATTTATAAGCTGGACAGCGTTGCTATATTTAAGATGCTGAGAACAAAGAGGGGGATGAGATCTCAGGCAGAGAATCATACAAACTGAGTGAAGGCAGACTATGCCAACTTTTGCCTCTGGGACTAAAAAAGCTGTTGGCTTTCTATTCCAATTTAACTCAACAAATTGTAGGAATCCACCACCCAAAAGAACTCCACCAAAGAATACCTCCTTTTCCTTTCTACCAGTAATTTAAGCCCATAACAGCAATGCCAATAGGGGGAGCAAAAGGGAAAAAAATATAATTAATATAATATAAAAAATATAATATAAAAATATATATTTTATAATATAAAAAATATGAATCCCTTCCCCAAAAGCCCACAGGAAAATTACCTGAGAAGATCATGCCACCAAAAATATAATATAAAAAATAAACACACACATACATATATTTCTTTATTCCATCTCCAAACCAACTTAAAATGCAAAGTCTTCTGGATGTTCTTTTCTGATGACTTTAATACATTCAGAACCATCCAGGGGCTGCAAGGCAGGCATGTTTCTCGCTCTGCCTCACATTTCATGTTTTAGCAATGGCAGAATATTTACAAAAAGCAGGGCCTTGCAGGTTAAGCAAAGCCACTCCCAGCTACCAGGATTTCTATAGCAAGGACTAGGCAGTGTTGCCCCTGCTGTCACCAACCCCCAGGTAGACCCTGGCACTGAGTGTGGATTAGCAATCTTAGAATACAGGAGAACCAGCAGAAAGAAAACAGCAGTAACCATAAGGGGTTGCCCTGGTGGTCCTCACTCTCTCCTTTGAGTGGGAATGGGGCAGAGATCAAGAGAATAGCCCCAGATAAAAGGGTTTATAGACCTGAGAGCAAAGGAGTGTGTATGTGTTGGAGGGATCAAGGTGGGGAACTCACTACACCTCAGAGCCCACCACTGGCAAGAGAAGGGACAAGCATGAAGGCACACAAACACACCCTGCACACCCACATGCACAAGCACCACAGAATGTCTCAGCAGGACCTGAACGATCCCTGGCAGAGAACTCTAAGCAGCCACTGCCAGAACCACAGAAATCACCACAAGTTTTGCTCCCCTGGGATGAAAGGGAAGATATAAGGCACTGTAAGTAGCATTATAGGGATTATCCCACTTCTATAGCTGTCCCAGGCAAAAGGGAAAAGCAGTGAGAAAACACTTCTATCCAAAACTGTCTTTTTAAAATGCTCTGTCCAAAGGCAGATTCTTCAGTCCCTCCTGAAAGGAAGGAAGTAGTACCTCAAGTTATGTGGCAGGTTTGAAAAAGCATGGAGTACAAACAGGAGAAAGGGAATGGCATCGTGAAGGTGTCCAAAGGCTTCCTCCCTTTCCCTTCCCTCACGGTGAAGACTAAGTCAACCCCACCCCTCCCTTTGCCCCCCCACTGTGCTTTTGCATGCTGCCTTAACTTAGTAAACAGGAGGTGGTTGATAACCCTCAGTGGTCTCTGCATTCTGAGTGAAGGGTGGTTGTTGGTAATTGTCTCCAGCAACTCCTGGGTAGGAGGCATAGGGGGCAGCAGGATCAGGGGTAGGGTCAATGTAGTTCTGGATGAAGTCATCTACCCCAGCTTTGTATCTCTGGTAGGCAAGGGCAGCCAGCAAACCCTAGGGAAAGAGTGGCTTGTCAGGGTTTGGGTAGATGGAAAAGCTGGAGGCAGGGAAGAGAAGGTAGGAGAGACAGGACATCTAACTCCCCTGTTTTTTTTATTTCCCCCAACCTTCTTACATTAGGAATGACGAAGAGTTTAGGTTGGAAATCTGAGTAAAGAACCCTGTCTCCAACCCTCCCTTTGCCAAAACCCATACCTCTGGCATCACCCACCATAGGACCATGGTCCCAGACCCCCACATACCCAGGAGAAGATGGAGAAGAAGCTGAAGGAGATTGCTGCCCGAGCTGAGTCAGCCCCCACCAACACGTCTATGGGCTTGGTGGCTGCCCACTGGTTGGTGAGAAAACAAAATCCAACAAACCAGAGGAAGGTCCAGAAAGCTGGGGAGAAAAGAAGATAAGGAAGAACCAGCTCCCCATAGTCACCCACCTCCTCAAGTTAGAAAGTACCACTGGGAATTACCAAGGAACATAAGTGGATCCTTCCCCATCCCTACCCCAGCAGCCACTGGGCTAAAGAGGGAGATTTGAATCCCTTCCCCAAAAGCCCACGAGAAAATTACCTGAGAAGATCATGTCACCAATGACCAAGTACTTGCGGTCAGTGGCGTTGCTAATCTGGGGAAAATAGACATCAACCACGAAGAAGAAGACAGAAGCCAGGAAGGCAAGCACCCCAATGGCTGTGCCATATCGGCAGGCATCCTCATTGTGGTTAAAGACACACTGGAGGTCAGCTGACTGGTGTGAATTAACGTAGCCTTCACCAATGATGCAGGAGAACACGATCACAGCAAATAACTAATGAAGAGAAGGAGTGTCTGATGAGGCTGGGGAAGCCACACTGACACCCTAGGATGATCATATGATCCCCACAAGCTACAAACCCAGAATTTGAAACAAGTTGGGACTGAGGAAAAGTTGATGTGAGCCCAGATGACACTCCTGGCTGGTGTCTCTTCCTCTTACTGAATATCTTATTTTGTGTTGTTTTATTTCATTTCATGACTTCCATACATGATTTGATAATGTGATTACTTCCTAGTTTTAATGGGGAGGAGAGAAGTCAACTGTTTCTTATGGCATTAATAGCCAGCCTACCTTTTCAGGCCTCATTCATTTATTCTCCTGCACATACAAGTGCATTCCAGCTAAACTGGACAACTAGCTGTTCTTCACATTTATGCAGGCCATCCCCTAGCCTGGAATATTTTCCAACTTAATTTCCACATCTCTGCCTTTCAGAATATTTCTCTACCTTCAAGTCACCACCTCTGCCATCTTCCCAATCTCCCTTAACTGAAAGTTTTCTGTCCCTTCTCAAATATCTCTAAAGCATTCTGGGTCTCTCCTTTGTCCCATCACTCTCTACCTTATATTTATGTGTATACATATCTTTCCCCTGTCTCCATCCTGCCTTATCCTATCCCCAGGGCAGAATGTCATTCTTTGAGGCCAGGGATTATTTAACACTTCATCTCTACCTTCCCATTGCTTAATAAATGTCCATTAATGAACACCATACTCATGTAAAAGATAAAATTCTAACACAGATCAGTGGGACATGTGCCTGGGAATAATTCTTCCAGGCAGAAGAGCTGAGTGGCTTAGGCCTCTGAACATTCTAGTGGTCTGGCCCCCAAGATGGAGATTGTCCTGCCTAGCTTTCAAAGTTTGTTCTACTCTTGTTTACCCTCTCTATAAGCACTGATATAAATGTTGCCACCAAATAAAAGGGCATTAACACAACACAGCCACACGATTCAGTGTTGCCAGTTTTCCAGTGAAGATTAACTGCTACACTAACACTATTTATGCCAGCTTTGGGGTGGGGGGTGGGGGGGAGAGAAGCAGTGCAGGGTGGGAGTGAGGAAGATAGTTAAAATATCAGTCTGAAGCTTTGGCCAAATACTCTCCAAGTACTATCTATGGACCCCAGATCTGTCTACCCAGTTAATCATTTCACAAAAGGAGTCTGACCTAAGAGTGAATCTAAAAATCACGGTCCCAAAGGAAAGACTGTACTTCAGAGGAAATCTATTACAGGCTAGGGAATTCCCTATCATTAGCATACCTTGCCCTAGATCAAGAGGCTAATCTAAAAAAATGCTGCCTCAGGGACCAACCTGAAAGAGTAGCCCCTCCAGCCCTCCAATGACAAGGGCATTCTCATTTTCAATAGAACCCATCGGCTTGCAGTCAAATCATATTCTACCCTTCAAACTAAAACAAGAACCTATAAATCTGTGGGAGGAGGGGAGAAAGTAGAGAAACAATGTGCCCAGTCCCTCATGCCCTGGCACTACCAAGCCAATACATCACCTTCCCCTAAAGCAGAGCACAGGGCAAATCTGTAGGAGAGGAGCTTCACCAAGAGATATACTAGGCAGTGCTGGGGTGCCAGTCAGTATCAGTAGGCATTGTCCAACCATCGAAGATGCCCTCTCCTCACCCCGATCCCAAGGAATTCATTTCAAGAACTGGTCACATTATTTTCCCCAGTGAATCCAGGGCTTTCTAAACATTCCGGGGCAGATTTTCCCATAGACGGTTCTACATGATGTAAGCAGCAACAGAATCAGATTCGGGCTGGGCCGAATTCACATTTTTCCTATCAGGAAGAAAGGGAAAGAAGCAACAACAGTGGTCCGAGCCCCTACAAACCTTGCCCAACCTGTTTTACAGAAGCCAGCCTCTCTGGGGCAGGGGGACCAAATGCTCCTTGGCGCGGGCGAGGGTCACTCCTTTCAGGCCACACTTTCCTTCTCATTCTTACTTTTTTTTTTTAAATGTCCTACTCATAAGTCCCCAACCCGGGAATGCGATAGGGCAGCCTGCCACCTGCCCCACAGTTTCACCCAGGCCCCTCCCACTGCCAGCAGGGCGGCCGAGGCCTGCCTCGGTGCCTGAACACCTGCCCTGCTCCCGGGCCACCCAGCTATGCCAGTCCCGGAAGAAACGGCCCAGACCGGAGGAGGGAGTGGGGGTAGCGGGGGTGGGGTGGCCGTGGCCCGGGGCAGAGGGCCAGGAGCGATGGGTGGGCAGGGCAGGCAGGGTCGGGGGCCCGGCGCTAACAGGAAGCGAGGGCACCCCTGCCTGCCACCTGCCGTCCGCCGGAAGGTCCTGCCCGCCCCTGCCCGGCGGGCCTGGGTCCCTCGGCCGCGGGGCTCGGGGTGCTCACCATGCACACAGCCCGAACGATGACCTGCGGCTGCTGCAGGAATCGCCGCAGGTCGAAGCTGCCGCCGGCCTTGGCCGCCCCATAGGCCCCGCTGTCCATTTTGACGTTGACGTCGTCGCCTTCGCCGCCGCCCGTGGAACGCGAACTAGAGACTCCCGGCACACAGGGTGACACCGGGAGCTCCATGCCCCGCCCCCCACGCGCCAGGGGCGTGGCCAGCTCCCTGCCCTGGGAGCCCCGGGCCAATGGGCGCGGGGCCCGAGGCCCGCGAGCCACCTGCCTGAGAGAAGAGGTGGGGCCCCAAGTCGTTTCCCCCCCCCCCCCGCCCCCCGCGGCTTCCCAAGGTCAGCCCCCAGCCGGCCTAAACCGTTCAACCCCGATTTACTGGCTTTACTGATTAACCCCCACCAACAATGAAGTTCCCTTTCCCGGCCAGCCCCCTCCTCCCCGCCCCGGATCAGAATCTCCTAGAGGAAGGGACCTCGGGGCCATCTAGTCCAATAATCCCTCCAAAATAAGCCCAGGACTAAACTAGTCCTGCGCTTGGGGACCTAGAGGGAAGTCCACTAACTCCAAAGGCAGCCCATTTCTCCTTTCGATGGCTCTGGTCGTTAGAAAGTACTTTGTATCCAACCAAAATTTGCCACTTTGTAATTCCACCTGGGGTTTCGGGTGCTTCTTCCTGGGACCAAGAAACGACCGAGTCGAATCCCAGTTTGACGAGATAGCCTTTCAAATACTCAAAGGCAGCCGTCTTTACCCCACAGATCTCTCCAGGCCGACCACCACCCCTCCCCCGCTCCTAGTGCCTTCAACGGCTCCTCACGTGACATAACCCTAAAGTGCTTCATTCTGGTCGGTCCCCTTTGCGCAATCTCCACTTTACCCCCACCAATGTCCTTCTTAAAATACGACATCCATAACTGAACACAGTACTCAAATGTAGTCTGACCCAGGCATAGTGAGAATATTAATAGTACCCATGTCCTAAGATTTCATGTTATTCCACTGGGTCCTCTTGGTCTTGGAGTCTACTAAAAAAAAATGTCAGATCTTTCTCAGGTGAGCCACAATCTAACAAAGTCTTCTCCCACTTCCCTTCCGCACTTCAGTGCACGAGAAACTGAATTTTTAAGAGCAAACTCAAAAGCTTTTTTTGGTATTTGCATAAGAAAGGTCGGGAATTTGACTAAGTAGGTATTAGAAACAATGGCCTAGTCCCTGGACTTTTGTTTTGCTTTGGTGCCTTCCTACTTCTCCTCCTCCCCCATTTACTAGGAAGAAAGAAAGAGGTTTGGAGTTAAAAAACTGAGAAACTCTGAACCCCAGAACTGTTTGGTAGTTATTAGATCAATAATCTTTAATTATAAACCTTGGTTTATAGTCTAGGCCTCAGAGACTAAAATCTGGAGGGAAAGGGAATACTTACCATAACCAAACAGAAAATTTAATCCAACAAAAAGATTAAATTCAGTGGCCTAGCCCAGAGAGTCACAGGTCTTGAAGAGTCAGAGACATCTTGAGTGTGAGGCATGAATTGTGCTCCTCCTGATGGGGTTGGGTCTGAGCCCCAAAAAGGAAAAACCCTGGATTTTGGCCAAATCTCTGACATTCGCCTGAGGCTATAATCCCATCAACTGGCCTTTCTTTGTGGCTATACTCAATCTCCCAATTCTGTTAATCTGGCCTGGCCTTTGTTTTACCTCCCCATGTATGGACCCCGGTTATTTCCCACCCTTAATCCTAGCTAGGCTCCATTCTCCCTTGGCCACGAGGTCCAGGTCCCGGGAGTTCTGTTCACCCCAAACTACTTGGCCACTCCTAGATCCCTCCCACAGGCTTTCTGTATATAAAATCCATCTTGTCTCCATTAAGATGCTGGGATTCTTATAATCTAGCCATGGCTCAGATTCCTAAAATCTAGCCACTGCTTAGATTCTTAAAATCTAGCCACTGGTCAGATTCTTATAATCTAGCCACTAGTTTACTAATGTTCAGACTCCTTAAGAGTCTGCCCAATATGACTGATGTTCTAGTAAACCTTGTCTTTGACTGAAAGAAGGCTTAGGTGAAATTCTTTCGGGCAGGACCCGCGTGTTATGATTTTGCGGTCCGAGGATCCCTGAACCCCTAAACCGCATCACTCCCATTCTTGTGCCCTGGCTATCAGTATACCCCTCCATTCATGTACATGTTCCCTAGGTATGTGCCTCTCTGTGAATATTCCAGGTTTGTCCATTGTTTTCACTAATAGTATGTTTTATGAGGGTTTTTTTTGCATTTCTTTAAATTCCTTTGCTTTGAATTAGTTATGCGCTCTGATGATTAAAAGTAAATATATTGGTGAAAGCTTATGAATTATGTGCACCCAGACCCACAGAGTATGCTGAGTTGCCTCTGGCTCTGAGGGATTCTTCTTCTTAGGGGATTACCCCCCCAAACAACACACATAACACTTTACATTTATTCCTATTAAATTTCATCTTTTTGGGGATTCTCCAAGCTTCCAGTTGCTAGGGGCTCTGGAGCTGCCACAAGTACTTCTGACTTCCAGCTTCCAGAGGAGGAGAACAACTCCACTTTAGGTTGCTCAAGGACATGAGGGGAACTGGTGTTCTCCATGTTGAGGGGTTGGGAGTGGGTGAAAGAAGCTACATGAAGGAATCAGGAGCCAGTCAAGTCCTTGGATCACTTTGAATCCATATTACATGTCACTGGTTGTTGTCCTTCAAAGAGGACCCAAATGACATCACTATGTTAGAGTCAAGTTACAATGTGTCAGACTGTGGCTGATCGGACCAATAAGAGGAATGCTCTACCGAAGGTCTGGCACAAATAGTCCGTGTGAACATTTGGAGTGGGTCCTCTAAATTTTCCATCTAGAGTTTCTTTTGAGTTATTTCAATTCTGCTTTGCTCATACAGCACAGCCCCTTCTCTGATGAGCCAGTGTCTCCCATGTCACACAATCAATTCAAAAGGTCTTAAGAGAGACCTTGAGTGTCCTTATATCTCTGTCTTCTGACCACCACGTGAGCACTTGCCCTTTGTGAGTTCTCTATAAAATAGTCTTTTAGGCTCATCATAGTTGTGTTTTTTGCAGGAGAGTTTGAATGCTTGGCAGTTTAGTTTGAGAAAGGACCTCAGTGTCTGGTATCTTATCCTGTCAGGTGATCTTCAGGATCTTTCTAACACAGTGCAAATGGAAGTGATTCAGTTTCCTGGCATGGCGCTGATATACTGTCCAGGTTTCACAGGCATAAAACCATGAGGTCATATGCCACTAAAGAGCAAGAAGAGGGATGGACTGAACCCATGATGGGAACAAACACTTTTTTTTTTTGGCTAGGCAATGGGGTTAAGTGACTTGCCCAGGGTCACACAGCTAGTAAGCATCAAGTGTCTAAGGCCAAATTTGATTTCAGGTCCTCTTGACTCCAAGGCCAGTGCTCTATCCACTTCACCACCTAGCTGCCCCAGGGAACAAACACTTTTAGACATTAGTCTAGTATCCTTATCAAGAAAAGAAATGCAGTGATGGAAAATGCTATCTACATGCAGAGGAAGAACCATGGAATCTGAATGCAGATCGAAGCATACCATTTTCTCTTTTTTTTTTCTTTCTCGTGGTTTTTCCTTTTTGTTCTGATTCTTCTTTCACAACATGATTAATGTGGAAATATGTTTAATATGGTTGTACATGTATAGCCTATATCAAATTGCATGCCGTCTTGGGGCAGGAGGAGAGGAGAGAGGGGGGAAAATATAGAACTCAAAATCTTATAAAAGTGAATGTTGGGAGGCAACTAGGTGGCACAGTGGATAGAACTTTGGCCTTGGAGTCAGGAGGACCTGAGTTCAAATGTGGCCTCAGACACTTGACACTTAATAGCTGTGTGACCCTGGGCAAGTCACTTAACCTCAATTGCCTCACCAAAAACAAAAAGGAAAAAAAGAAGTGAATGTTGAAAACTAAAAATTAATTAATTAAAAAAAAAAAGAAAAAAAGTTAATCTGGCATGACTTGTTCATGATGAAGCCATGGTGGCTCTGTGATCACCAGGTTTTTTTTTTTCAGATGTTCATTAATCAACTTATTAATAATATAGTTCTTATTAGTAAAATATTCTAGAATTTTGCCAAGGAATAGAAGTCAAGCCCACTGTCCTACAGTTTGTAGCTTCCACTTTCTTCTCTTTTTCGAAAATCAAGACAAAATTAATCTCTCTCCAATTTTTGCATAACTCTCATTATCTTTTTTAAAAATTGATGTCAGGGGCAGCTAGGTGGCGCAGTGGATAGAGCACCGGCCCTGGATTCAGGAGGACCTGAGTTCAAATTTGACCTCAGATACATAACACTTACTAGCTGTGTGACCCTGGGCAAGTCACTTAACCCCATTGCCTAGCCAAAAAAAGAAAGAAAAAAAAATAAAATAAAAATTGATGTCACCTTCAAATTTTTTTTATTATGAACTTAACACACAACGAGTAAAATAAGAATTTTTATATGCAACACAAGCACCTAAAAAGAGGATCATACATGAAACTGCAAATCTGTCTACAACTTGCCTTTCCTTTTAAACATATGATAAATTACTCAACATGTAACTGTTAAAGCTGCTCTGCTTGTCTATTTCCTTTTGGCCTTCCATCTGTTTTGTAATCATGTGTTTTTCTTTATTTCCTTTCTTTTTCTTTGGTAATCTCCCTTTTCTATCACCAAATCGAAAAGAAACCCTTTTAATAAATATACATAATTAAGCAAAACATATTCCTATATTGTCCGTTTCTGAAAATGTATGATTTGTTCTGCATCCTGAGTCTGTCACCTTTCTGTCAGGAGGTAAGTAAAATGTATCATCAGTCCTCTGGAATCAAGGTTAGTACTGCATTGATCAGAAGCTTAAGTCCTTCAAAGTTGTTTTTCTTTACACTGCTGTTACTGCATAAATTGTCCTCCTGGTTCTGTTCATTTCACTCTGCCTCAGTTCATACAAGTTTTCCCTGATCTCTTTGAAACTGTCTCTTTCATCATTTCTTATGACACAATAATATTCCATTTCATTATTATACCATATTTTGTTCAGCTATTCCCCAATTAATGGGAACCCCCTAAGTTTCTCATTCTTTGCCACTCCAAAGAAAAGAGCTG